CCTACAACTGGTTTTGAGATGACAGCTTGCCTGGAACATTGTGTAGTGGGAGTGTTTTTAGCAGGATGTTACCACTTCTATTGATTCTGAACAGTGTGTGGGTGTCCTAATAGAAACATTGAATGTTTGGTTTAACAAACCAAATATTCAAAAAAAATATTTGGTCCATAGCAAGAGCTCTAACTCTGCAGGGATTTTAGAACTGTTGAGTTGAAGCAGGCCTGCACAACCTGCAGCCCTCTAGCTGTTTTGGCCTTGAACTCCCAGAAGCCTTAGCCAGCTTGTCCAATGGCCAGGGATTCTGGGAGTTGGAGGTCAAAACAACTGGAGGGTCACAGGGTGTGCAGGCCTGGGATTGGTGCACCCTGGTCTCATTCAGCACTTGGCACTGATGCACATCAAGCACTTTGTGGGCTCTGCTGCATAACAAACCTCTGCCAGATATGGACATTAAGCAACTGGATGATTCTCACATACATATCTCCCCAACAGTATTCTAGCTTGTCCAAGTATTCTAGCCATTTTTTTCTTTTCAGTTTTATCAAAAGTGTCTCCCTTATGTTATCATTTCTGCAATGGAACCAAGGCATTTTTCTGAGCAACTCAAAACCAAGGTAACTAATAATGAAACTGGGCAAAATATAATGTTAACAGCAAAGTCAAAGAGCAATGACCAAGAAATCCAACTCAGCACCTAAATATGGCCTTATTATTAACATGCTGGTGGTGTTTCTGAAACATTTCCATACATGTCAGACAATAACACACAGAGCGAAAACTTCCATGGGCTTCTCTTACATAGGCATAACATCTTCCCAAGCTTCAGCCGGCCAGCTGGACTGAACTTTACTTTGTTTGCCCACCATTGCAAACAAGGAACAGCTGGGTTGTTTTTCTTCAAAGTAATGATCTTGCATGTTGTAGCCATTCACAACCTTGATAGAAACAAGGTTAAAGCTCATGCAGTTGTGGCTGCGGGCCTCCCAATGTGTACTTCTTTTCCCACTGTCACAAAGCTGAAGAAAGGTCTGCTAAACACACACCGCTATTGGAACACCCAATACTGTGGTGCTACAGCTGTCTACCTGTGCTTTCTGAAAGAGTGGTTCATGAAAATGATTAAGTTCTTTCCTATCTTTGAGACCCAAAGTTGAAGGAGGTAGATAATGCTTATTCCCCCCCCAAAAAAAAACCCCCAAGAAAACTAAGTCATTTACCCCATCATAATGCTTTCCGCTTCTAATGCAATTTTTCCCAACTTTGGAGTAGAACTAACAAGCCTTCATTTCTGATCATAACTGAAGTTATCTATGGATAATGAGAGCTGTAATCAAACAAGGAAAGGGGAGGGGTGGAACTGAAACAAACTAAGAAGAGAGTGAGCAGGGCAGGTGCAATACTTATTCAAACATACAAAGTGAAAATAATGTCTACATATATGTACTAAAAAGTGAGTTCCAGTGCAACAGCTTCCCACATTAATGTGAATTATGGAGATATCTTGGGTAAACTTACAAAGCAGAAGAAATATAACAACAACTCTTTCAGGGAAGCATAGCATTATCAGCAAGCCAGCACAGACAATGAGATTTTAAAATAAAAACAAAAGGAGCCATGCTTGTTTATCACTATTGGAAAACACTTTAATCTGGACTGGTTAAAACCGCAAGAGATGCGACTTCTCCTGTTATGAGAATCTTTACATTTTCAAGCAAAAGCTGCAGAAACCTGAGCTGGTATAGAGCAAATGTTGATATCAGTAAAACTAGAAAGTCAGTTTAGGGTGTCTGTTGCTGTTGTTTGTTTCTGACATATGGCAACCCTAAGGTGACCCTATTATGATATTTTCTTCAGCTGTGAGTTTATGATGCACTCAAGGTCATCTAGTGGGTTTCATGGCTGAGCAGAGAATTCAGCCATAGTCTGCAGGATTGTAGTTCAACCATCAAACCACTACACCAATTGAGGGAACTGACACCTAATTGTGTAAAATGACCTTATGGTCAGAGGGAATGGGATGATCAATGCAGTTCCTCCTCTGCTGATAGAAAATCTTCAGTTTCTAAATGCTAAGATAAAATACATTTGTGGTCACCCAAGTGCTATATCGTACTGTCTCCAAATTCTCAGTTGAGACTCTGCGACTGAGTATTCCTCTACTTTTTCTCTCTGCTCCTTGGAAATTGCATATATAATGCAATATATTTTGCACAGAGATTCCCTAGCTTCTAAGCATATTCATTAGATTAACAAGTGACTCTGAGCAGTCACGTTGTCTGTTAGAAAAAAGTCAAGTTGATTGTTGTTCCCTATTAATATTTTTATGTTGGAGGCACATTTGCATTTCACCTGATTGAGGACTTTCATATGTCAAACTGCTTCTGACTGCTATGGTAGTGAAGCACCAGGATTTCATTTGTTTTAAAGAAATGCAAATCTTAGGAGTCATAATAATTGAAAGCAGTAGACTCTGCTAAATGACAGCATCATCCTTGCTCCTTAAATAAAGAATAATGTATGCCTTTGTTGGCTCAGTGTTGTAGACCCACAGACACAGCAGTTTCAAAGTACCTGATATCTGATATTGTCAGATATAAAGCTAACGAAGCAGCATTCCCTGTCTAGAGTACATCATAACCACAAGCTTCCCTGTTAAGGTTTCTATTCTGGCAGTTGTCATCCTGTGTTTTATGTTTTCTGCTGTGATGTTGGCAATCAAGTGATGAGAGTGAACAAAAGAAAGTGTAATGCAGCTAAGACAGAGATGCTAGAAAGCTGACCAGGGAACAGAAGTTCAATCTTGTGCTGAAGAGGAAAGATAACAGCTTAGGTGTACCCTGGAATTCATCCCAAGATTTCCAGATTTCAGCAGTGAACAGGAGTGCATTTGCAGCTGTACTTCAGCTGGGCACATTTCTAGAGACATCTGGCACATATTGTAGTTCAGGCCCAGTTTACTTGTCCAAACACATCACCACCTATGTAGATTAAGACCTTGTAGATTAAGAACCTTGTAGATTAAGATCGTCTGGGGAGGCCCTACTCTCAGACCCATCTTCTTCGCAAGCGTAACTGGTGGGAACAAGAGACAGGGCCTTCTCAGTGGTGGTCCCTCAGCTGTGGAACTCCCTCCCCAGTGATATTAAATCAGCCCTCTCCCTCCTGGCCTTCAGAAAGAAAGTGAAAACATGGCTTTGGGATCAAGCTTGCAAAGAATAACTGCAGTGCAATAGATTAAATGATGGATATGGAATATGTGCAATGACTACTGGAATGGCCCCAGGTCATGATTGTGGATGGCATGGTTTTTAATAGTTATTGTAATGTTTTAAAATGTTTTAATGTGTATTAATTCTACATTTAATTTTAATGTTTATTTTAATTGTCTGTTGTTTAAAACATTTATTTATTTATTCATTCATTCATTTAGAGCATTTGTATCACGTCCTTCTCACCTCGGAAGAGGGACTCAGGACAGTTTACAACAGGCAGCCATTAGATGACAACACAATAATAATTACAAAATAATAATTACAATTAACACAGTTAAAACAGAACAGTTATAAATATTCATTAAAACAGTTTGTCACTTCAAATCGTAATCCAAATCTATTGTGCTCCATTAAAAACATTCTCTTTCCAGTTGATCAGTCTATTGTTCAAGCGCTTTACCCCACGGCCAGGATTTGAGTTTTTTTTAAGGTCACGAGAGAGGGTGGCAGATCTAATCTCATTAGGGAGGGAGTTTCACTGCTGAGGGGCCACCACAGAGAAGGCCCTGTCTCTCGTCCCCACCAGTCACGATTGCAAAGGAGATGCGACCAAGAGTAGCACCTCCCCGAATGATCTTAACATCCTTGGTGGTTCATAGAGGGAAATACATTCGGACAGGTAAACTGGGCCGGAGCCATTTAGGGTTTTATAGGCTAAAGCCAGCACTTTGAATTGTGCTCGGATGTAAATAGGCAGCCAGTGGAGCTGGCATAACAGGGGGTTGTACATTCCCTGTACCTTGCTCCAGTGAGCAACCTGGCTGCTGATAGTTGGACTAGCTGGAGCATCCAAGCAGTCTTCAGAGGCAACCCCAGGTACAGTGCATTGCAATAATCTATTTGGGATGTAACAAGATTATGGACCACCGTGGCCAAGTCAGACCTCCCAAGATACGGGTACAGCTGGTGCACAAGTTTTAAATGTGCAAAAGCTCCCCTAGCCACAACCGAGACCTGGGGTTCCAGGCTCAGCGATGAGTCCAGGATAACTCCCAAGCTGCGAACCAGCACCTTCAGAGGGAGTGTAACCCCATCAAGCTCAGGCTGCAACTGTATGCCCTGTTTGGCCTTTCGACTGACCAGGAGGACCTCTGTCTTGTCTGGATTCAATTTCAATTTGTTCGTTCTTATCCAGTCCTATAAATCAAGGTCAAACCTTGTCATGGGGGTTCTGCATGTCAAATGTGGTCCAAGTTCATTATTGAAGGGGGTCACAGTGCTCTGTCTTGGTGCAAGGTGAACTACAACTTCCATTCTGTTGAGTCAGTCCCCCAAACCCCTCCAGTCTATGCAGTTGCTGAGCAATTCCTCATTATTTGCTGTGTGCCATAGGAAAAGGTGAAAAGGGTTAAGGGAGCCGTGGGAGGGGTCATGCAAATTCCACACAAGGAACCCTGGGATGCCTGCGTGTGGTGGAGGAAACATGTCAAATCTATAATGAAATGTTCCCCGAATGAAAGCATTCCTTGGGTAATGGGCCGTAGTGTTTGGAGAGGACATTGGCAGCATTTGGGCTACATATTCATGGCGCTTGCTGTAACCGGTAATGTCAGTGGAGGGAGTGCCTTTGGAGGCTTCTCAGCACTTGAAACTACTGCCAGTTCATGGAGGCTGGAAGCTGTCAGTGTAAGTGGATGCCTCCATCACATACACACATGCACACATTTTCACTTTTATTTTGTGTATAGATTAATGATGCAGGAGAGGAAAAAGCACACACATCCGGTCTGGCCAGTCAGTCAGCGTTTTATTTGAAATATCGATGCTTTCAATTATATAGTTCATACATTAAAAGCCAAAAGATTGCCTTCATTTCACATGGTCCAATACTGTAGTGGCACATCTGAAGCAGCACAGGAAAAATCTGTACAGGTATCTATAGATAAACGGAACTCTGAGTAACTCAAATTAAACAAGCGCTTACAGCAGTTACGAAAAAGAACAGTGAATTGGCTAGACGGATCACTATACACACAAAATGCAAGAAGTGGAATGGAAAAAATATATATAGGAGATTCTGGAGAGAAAAATAAGTCAAATATGTTTGCATATATAGCCACACATTGCCTTAATTGCTCAGCACAAAGATTTCTTTTTAAAATTTAGTCCTCACTGAGGGCAGAATATACACAAATGATGTTCAAAGAACACAAGGTACATGAAAATAAACATAGACGGTGTAATTTGCTTTTCCATAATTATTCTTTTTTAGTGAGTATGTAGAATAAGGGCTCTTGGTGTTTTAAAATTACAAGCGTTTTGTGCCTAGACTTTACACAAAGTGAAAACAGTTACATTTCTAATTTGTCTTCTTCTAGTATCGTATATTTGCTGCTGGCATAATGGTTTTTATGTTCATAGTTTCTGAGCATCCACATTGGGTCTGTGGACCTATACTTAGTATGCCTGGCCTGTGGATACTTTTAAAATGTAACCTGGATACTGAAAAGACCCTAGTCTAGTGGAGGGTAGACTTCCAGCCCTGTCTCGTCTACTTTGTTTCATTCTAGAAACTGAAGGTCCACCAACCAGAGCCCAGTGCAAAATGCATACCCTTAGAAATGAAAATAACCAGGGTATTTCTGAATGCTCTCTGAGCCTTAGAGTACCAGAAATGAGCAGAGTCCACAATCCTTTCATACAAAAGTCCTCTTCTTCTTACCTTCAGCTCTCTTTCTGTCAATGGCCTAATATAGGTGTTAAAATGAACTTCATCTTTGCTCCTGCTAAGCCAGAAATCCTGGTCAACCCACTGCAAATCACTCAGAGGCCTTCCTGTAGATCCCAACCTACTTTCTGACCCCCCTCTTTTTGATCTAATACATAAAAGCTAGTTCTATGCAAACAGCATGTACAGAATAGCAGTGGCTCATTTGCAGAGAAACTGGAGAATATGTTGTCTTTTTTTTTCTCCGAAGACAGGACTTGAGTCTTTTTGAGATAAGATACGAAAAGCAGGTTAGCAATTATTATTAGGCTTTGCAAACTGCATTCGATTGGAAGGGAGAGATGGAATGACTGAGGATAATTCCCCCCTCATTCTATCAAGAACTAAAATGACATTACAGTGGTGATATGCTTTATCTTTCCCAAGACTCAACAATTCCCATTGTCACTGCATCACACACCACTGGTCATTACTGCTTTCCCTCCCCATGGCTGCAAACAAATCTGTATTAGCCATGGCAGTGATATCACACCTATGTGCCTGGCTCCACTGCCTTGAGAAGATACCACACATCACCACTACGTAGTATGATGACACAAAAACCAAAGATTGTCTGTGGGGGCCTGATGACGAAGTTCACCACTGCAGCTTGTACTTGTGATGTGGAGCAAGCAGCCATTGTATTGATTTGTTTCTGTAGTTTTAAAAGCAGTGGTACATGACTTTATTTGTTGTTTTTGGTGGGGGAGACAGGGACTCAAGACATACGGACTCACGCAGCCATTCTAACGAGGCAAAGGGACAAGAATTTCCACATAATTGATAGGGAAGAAGCCTGACTGGCCATGAAGCATGCCTTCATACCAGTTTTCATCAATCTGGTTAGTGAGGGTGATGATATCCCCCTCTTTGAATCCAAGCTCCCCTTCATTTTCTGGATCAAAGTCATACAGAGATCGACAGCATGGTTGGTCCATGGCAACACCTACAGAGAAAGACACAGGCTGGGTTAGGAAAAGACACACTATTGGCACACACAAAACCAAGGACAGAATGCTACCTTACTTTGTAAAAGTAATGTATTGCTTATTGCTTTTCATTTGTCGGCATTGTTCATTGTCAGAAGAGTATCTTGTTATATATAGTCAGCCTTCTACATCAACAGATTGTGTATCCATGAGTTGAACATCCATCGCCTGAAAATATATGTTTTAAACATTCCAAAAACCAAACCTTGATTTTTGTCATTTTATATAAAGGGTAACATTGTACTATGTCATTGTATACAGTGGGACTTGAGCATCCATGGATTTTGATATCTGTGAAGGCAGGTCCTGGAACCAAATCCCAGCAGATGCCAAGGCACACTATACTCTGTCACTACTACTGACACTAACACTAAGCAGCTCCATTGGCTGCCAATAAGTTTCCGGTCCCAATTCAAAGTGCAGGTTATCACCTATAAAGCCTTGCCCCAGTGGTTATCAGCCTGTTGGGTCCCCAAATGTTTTTGGCCTTCAACTCCCAGAAATCCTAACAGCTGGTAAACTGGCTGGGATTTCTGGGAGTTGTAGGCCAACACACCTGGGGACCCAGGTGTTGAGAACCACTGCCCTACATGGTTGGGGTCCAACCTATCTTTGTGACCTCCTATGAACGGGTGTGGGCTCTAAGATCTGATGAGGATGCCCTCCTCTTGGTCCCTTCTCCATCTCAAGCTCAGTTGGTGGGGAAAAGGGAGACGGCCTTCTCAGTGGTGGCCCTCTGGCTCTGGAACGCCCTCTCCAGTGTACTTAGACAAGCCCCTTCACTACAAAACTTTAGGAAAGAGTTAAAAACTTGGTTTTTCCAGCAGGCATTTGATAATGTTTAGACAGTAACCAGAACTGATTGCTAGTCACTTAGCACTTTGTATCTATGTTCTCTGCATTCAGCTGGGCTGCTATATTGATCACATGGCTCTTTTAACTGATTCTATTTTTAATAGAGGATGTTTTATCCTATTTACATACCTGGTTTATGTAATGTATTATTGTTTTCATGTTGATGTATTTTGTTTTATGCATTGTGTATCTTATGTATGGCATCTTTCTGTGCTATTTTGTAAGCTGCCCCGAGTCCCTGTGGAAGATGGTGGCAGGATATAAATAAAGAATATTATTATTATTATTTAATATTAATAATAAAACAATTAAATTGTTTTTAAACAGCCCTAAAATGCAAAAATTGCTAACAGATTTTCAACAGGAAAATCAGTTTAATAATATTACCAGTTGTAAATCAGATCAGTTTAATAATATTACCAGTTGTAAGATTATTTGATAAATGGTAACTATGTTGGCAACTATTGTTACTCAAAAATAAATGGCAGAGTGGATATTATTTCTAATGATTCTTTACAAAACAAGCAGATGATGCCACTGTGACCAGAAGGAATGTAGCTTTTTTAAATGCATGTTAATTACTTTCTTTATGGTCATTCTGAACCCAGCAAAAAGGTTATTTGCTTTTAGTGTTCTGAACTACAGTTTATAGACTGTGCCATTTTAGTCTTGCTATAAAATGGTTTTATTATTATCTCTCTGCAGGAGATTATATTGTGGTTTCTTCTCTGATGCTACTGCATTTTAATATAGTATTTTCATTATTTTATGCTGTGACTATTTGGAAAGCAATGATATGCAGTGATCTATGTAAATATCATAAATACATTAAAAGGAGCAGATAGGGTATGGATGTGATGTTTGCATCCTTTGTGCTCATTCCTTGTTGGATGTGATGGCATCACTTGGCAAAGGAGTTCTTGTTCTTGTTTATCACTGATGAGAGCAGATGTTCAGAAAAGAATCCATATTCTGTGTGAGGCAGTGCATTGGCATTGTTGCATTGGGAATTGCACAATCCAGGTACTGCTCTCCACTGAGCCATGAAACTTACAGGCCCCATCGACATTGCCATATAATCCAGTTTCTGAATCCAGGTTAACACCTTTGAATTGGATTATATGGTAGTGTAGACTCATATAATCCAGTCCAAAGCAGATAACCTGGATTCAGAAACTGGCAGTGTAGATGGGGCCACAGAGTAGCCAATGGCTCCTGTTCAGATTGACCTAGCTCGTAGGGTAACTGTGAGGACAAAGTGGGAAGGAGAAGAACTTCATCTCCCACTATAAATCAATTTGAAATCACCTGAACCCATTGAACAAAAGGTGAGATGCAAAATAATTTCAAGAATAAGAAATCAGAATAGTAATTGACATTAAGAATAGCATTGTCAATGCTACCTGAGGTCCCATTCTCTTTCTTTATTCACGGTGACTGAACAATCCATCCTGCATCTTGGCCCCTGACTTTCATGTATTCCATGAAAAGTAGAAATGGATTGTCAGTGTCATGGACCCTGTCAAACTATACTTTATAGTGCTAGCATCCCACCTTAACTGCCATGGCAACATTTGGTGGAATCTGGCTTGTTGTAGGTTTTTCGGGCTAAATGGCCATGTTCTAGAAGCATTCCCTCCTGACGTTTTGCCTGCATCTATCGCAGGCATCCTCAGAGGTTGTGAGGTGATTCTGGCCATTTTTTAAAATTCTGGCCATGAAAGCCTTTGACAATACATTTGGAGAAATCCTGGAGTTTGTAGTTTAGTGCTGCCCAATTTAATGAGTCATCTCATGGTAAACTGAATAAAGTATTTCCCATATTTGATTCCAATGCATTTGTGTGATTAGACTTTGGTAATAATGCTGACAATAAGACTAAATAGTACTCTAAGGACAGCGGACCCCATTTGATCTTGCAAGCTAAGGAGGGTTGGCCGTGGTTAGTACTTGGATTGAAAACCACTTATAAATACCAGATGTTGTGGACTAGATTTCAGAAGAACAAACTAGCAAAACCATCTCTGAGTCTGCTTTGTCTTAAAAAATCCTGGGAAATTCATGGGGTTATCATGAGTTAATAGGCGATTTTAAGGAACATAGACATATGTAAAAAGTTGTCATATGAAGCTAACTTAATATCAAAGCGAATCTCATACAGCATTTCCTATTACATATGCTTCAGGTGCTTCCTTGCTTCGTGCTCTTACCTGAGGGTTTTGGAGTGGTAGCGGTATTAATTCCTCCATTGTGCTGAGGGTTGTCACTGGTGAAATCCAAGCTCATGCGTGGCTTTGGCTGATATTCTCTCCTGGGCTGCAGCGATGCATCTTTTATTCTGCCAGAAGATGATCATGTGTGTTATAAGATAGCAATTTGTCGACAAATCTTATACATGCAAATAATTCATATGTAATTATTCATGAACTGAACTGACATGTCTGATGTCAAGGTTAAACATGGTATGCTATTAAGCATACTTTCTACACTAAAGATTGACCTTCAACAATGAGGCAGTTTTCAAAAACTTCAATTCCCAGGATCTTTTCCCATTGACCACTTTAGCTAAGACTGAAGGCGATCACAGCCAAGAACACATGGGGAGCACCAATCTTAAGGATTAAATAAGGATGTACACTTTAGTCTGTATTTTCAAAAGAATTAGATTTAATCCTTTTGGCTCCAAAAACTCACTTGACTTTTTTTTTTTTAAAAAAACACAATTTATTCGTAAAGGGAACAGATAGCATAAGTCTGGTCTGCTGCTGGTGCCCATGTTGGCTAAAGGTCATGGGAATTGCACACAAAGTGCAAGTAAGTTCTGTAAATTCAGATGTCACTTACAGAAGTAGGATTTGCTGCTGCTCCTGGGCAACTGCATGTTTTTTCGGAAACCTTGTATGATACTCTATAATCATTGCAATACATTCAGATGAAATTGAATTAAGATTATATTTTTACTGGTCTCCATCTTTAGTATCCATGGCAGGGATTTATGATGGAACCAAACACATCTAAATTCTGAGGGCCCACTGTTCTTAAATACTGCGAATACAAGCCAGTCACAAAAATGTAACTTTGGGTTATGCATTTGTAGCTGCCATAGGGAATTATGGCTGTCAAATTTCCTTCAAAGAAATCCAAAAAGCTTGATAAGATTACCAAAATTATTCAGGTATTTTGTCACACATCTAACCATGTGGATGGTTAGTTGTGTGGCAGAGTCACACAACTAGTTGGTGCACTGATAAGCACCAACGAACACTTTGGGCTCTTCCACAGAGCGCTATATCCCAGAATATCAAGACAGAAAATCCCATAATATCTACGTTGAACTGGATTATCTGAGCCCACACTCAGATAATGTGGGATTTTTTGCCTTGATATTCTGGGAGATAGGGCTGTGTGGAAGGGCCCCTAGAGATCACTGTGAGACTTACCTCTCTTCCAACCTGGAACTAACTTGTTGAAGTATTTGTGTGGCTTGTTTGTGATATTCCAGCTGGGCTTGTACAAGTGCAGTAAGCTGGCTCACTTGTTCAACCTGAAAAGATAAAGCTTTGTGAAATTTCTTTAAAGACATTTCTCAATACACTTACCTTCTGATACTTTAAAAGACTGTGAAAAGGGTATTATCAACACTGAACTGAGTATTAGAACTGAATATTAATTAATGTGGAGTTGTGTTACAGACCCTTTTGATCAGGGTTGGAAAGAAAGTAAACCAGTATGCTACTGGCCATTTCCTGGAAGATGACCTATTAGCAAACATATACTAGATGTTCTCTCTTTAAAGGTTTGTTTCAATAGTCATTGTGCTAAAATGATGTAGGGCTTTAGCACTTAAGTACTATGGTTAAAGAATGAGAGTACTATAGCAAAAGAAAGAAAGAAAGAAATGTTCAGTTTAGTAACCAGAAATATAACAAGGGCATGAAGGTCAGTGAGAAAGTTCTGTGATGAAGGTCACATCTCCCATTTGAAACATCACCCGTGGAGCAATCCAGAAATATAGCAAGAGGAACAGAGAATAGATCAAGGTGTGTGACGTTTACTCTGGCCTGTATCGGGAACTCCCAGGAGAGGGAAAAAAGACTGCCACTCTTTGCACAGGGTATAAAAAATGTGTCCAGTACAAGAACAAGAAAATGGTTTCAACTGGATATTTTTCAACTGGATTTTTTTTTAAAAAAAATTCATCAGTATAACTATATTTTTCACCAAATCTGAGATTGATCTAAAGGAGAAATTAAGAACTACTTTCACCATCTGATGCAGAAGTTATGTGGATTGAAATAATTTAGTTTTGGTGGATGACAACATTTACACTATACTAGAGATGTACTTTATCACTCAATTAGAACCATCCTTCTAATTCAAAGGCAATATAAATACAGTTTAATTTAAGTGTATTACAGTATCTATTGAGTGACAGCATATAGCACTACTTCCTTATTTCATTCCCCTTGACTAGTCTTCTGAGGCAGGTTGCTATTTTTCACACTGTATGGAGTTACATCTGATTCCAACATGTGGTGATGCATTAAGGTAGTCAAATAATAATAATAATAATAGTCATAATAATAATAATTTGAACTTGTGCCACAAATACCATCTGCCTGTGACAAAGAACTGATGGGATCGCAAGCCTGAAAAAGTTAAGGAAAATGTACGTGTCAAACAACTCTGGGACTTCCGAATTCAGACTGACAGAGTTTTGGAGCATAATACTCTTGACCTCATGATGGTGGGGGAAAAAACAAATATGGATCATCAATTTCAGGATGTTGCAATCCCAGGTGACAGCAGGATTGACAAGAAGCAACTGGAAAAGCTCACACGATATGAGGATTTAAAGATCGAACTGCAAAGACACTGGCACAAGCCAGTAAAGGTGATCCCAGTGGCGATTGGCACACTGGATGCAGTGCCTAAAGACCTTGGCCTGCACTTAAAAACAATTGGCACTGACAAAATTACCATCTGTCAGCTGCAAATAGCCACCCTACTAGGATCTGCACATATTATTCGCTAATACATTACACAGTCCTAGACACTTGGGAAGTGTCCGACGTGTGATCAAATACAAAAGCCAGCATAGTGATCTTGCTTTCTGTGTACTAATGTTATGTATCAAATAATAATAATAATAATAATAATAATAATAATAATAACAACAACAACAACAACAACAATCATCATCATCTCTGGCATAAAACAGTACAGGTAGTCCCAGTGGTAATCAGCACACTGTGTGCCGTGCCAAAAGATCTCAGCCGGCATTTGGAAACAATAAACATTGACAAAATCACGATCTGTCAGATGCAAAAGGTACTTGGATCTGCATACATCATTCAAAAATACATCACACAGTCCTAGATGCTTGGGAAGTGTTTGACTTGTGATTTTGGGATACAAAATCCAGCATATATATCTCATTTGCTGTGACATACTGTGATTTTGTGTCAGTAAAATAATAATAACAACAACAACAACAACAATAATAATAATAATAATAATAATAATAATAATAATAAATCTCTCCTTGTGGCTTTAGGCAGAGTACAACATTGTTAAACCAAAGAGATAGTATGAAACTGCAAGATACACAGAGTCAAAATGCAGGTTTACATTCACAAGCTAAAATTGACTTGGTAGGTGGGTCTTAAATTCTGACAGCTGATTCAAAGAATTCATGGTTGAGCTAGGTTTGCTTTCGTAATTCAGATTCAGATTAGACAGTTTGTCCAAATATTAATAGAAAGGTCTTTTTTCTATGCTTCCATTTGCATAGAGGTTAACAGCAAGCAGAATAATTTACTGAGTAAGGGCAGCCAGCCAAAACATTTTGCGAAGTTTGGCTTTTGGGACTCCAGCAATGCAAACACGGTTTTCTAGCAGTATGTTCAAACTTGATCAGTTATATAAGACCTGGTCTTGGAAAGCTAGCTCTGCATGCTCAAAGAATGGAGTCCAGGAAACAAGGATATAAGACTCAAGTTATTGCTAGTCATTTAAAAAGGCGTTAAACTGGCAAAATATGCAAAAGACAGAAGAACAATTTGCTTACATCCATCTCCAGCAGATTAAACATGCTTGATTCAGCAATTTCCTTTGACTCATCAAACTTCTCCAGAGCTTGACGGAGTTCATCATCTGGGAGTTTGCCTTGTCTTTTCTTCTTGTAATCAAAATCAAGGCGTCTTCCCTCCAATTTTTTCAGGTGGTGCTGACAAAAGAGGGGAAATGGGATTAACATTATGAAATCTTAACCAGCACTGCAAATGATGGTTTCTGAGAACGAATTCCTTTCCAAATTACGTGTGCAAGGCTTTCACTATACTATCATGCTGTTTCATTCATGGAGCTCCAGATGTTGTTGACTTCAATTTGCAGCCCCCCTGTGTTTTACTACAGCTTGTACTGTGGTTTGTTTACTCCTGCCAGAGAGAATCCAATAAGGAAAAAAAGAAATAATAGCTGCATACCATTTAATTTTGAGCAGTAGCAGAATATCACTCTGAGAGTACTCTGTGCTCAAAGCAACTTACACCTGAATAGGGCAACTTACATCTTTAACCTGCCCTGGAAGTAGTCTGTGAGTAGCCTGTTGTCCTAGTCCCTGGAATATTTTCAGTATGGCTGTCTAGGCTTTGGGCCAAAATGTTGTCCCATTCGTGACCTAAACCAACAAGCTACGAACCTACATATCTATTCAGCTGTAAGTTGCCCTAAGTCCAGTGAGACTAACTCACATCCAGGTGAGGATTACAACCTCAGTTAAATATGGATCAAGCAAGTTAAAATCAAGCAAGTGATAACTTACCTTCCACTAACATCAATGAGAACTGATACCACAATCCCATTCTAATATATTTTAAATAAAACCTCATTAGGTTCAATGGGGCTAACTTGTCAGTAGAGGCATGTACAGGACCACTGGAAAACAGCCTAATATTCTAGATCAGGAATCCCCAAACGAAGGCCCACAAACCAGATGCGGCCCTCTAGAGTCATTTTCCTATCCCCACCCTAAACTTTAGGCTCAGGGTCAACCTAAGTCTGGAACGACTTGAAGGCACACAACAACAACAACAACAACAACAACAACAATAACAACAATAACAACCCTAAGTAACTTGACTGTCTCATCAGCTAAAAGCAGGCCCGCTCTTCCCATTAAAATACTGGTAAGTTTATATTTGTTAAAACTGTTCTTAATTTTACATATTGTATTGGGTTTTTTTCATGTTTTTGCACTACAAATAAGTTATATATAGTGTGCATCAGAATTCATTCATTTTTTCAGACTATAGTATGCCCCCTCACCAGTCTGAGAGACTGTGAACTGGCTATCTCTATGGCATTGTTCACCTGTTACTTGGGGAGCGAAAAGGAGCCAGTGGTTTAAGCACACCATTTGGAAAAAAATTAGGCTGCTTCTAACATGTTGTCAAGGACTGTTAGAACCCACTGAACCTAGGGATTGTGCTATCTAATCTCTTTCTTTCAGCCCCCATTCCCCTTTATTATGGCTCTAGTTTAAGCATTTCTAATTTTTACAAATATTCTAATGAAATAGGGAATCCCGTTCTTTTTCTAATGAGGGAACTTCAGAAACATCAAAGGTACATCACAGAACTTTTCATCACTCCTTTAGACTCTGACGTAATCCAATATTTAGGAGTCAGGTGCACAATCTCAAAATACTACACAACAAGAACATCCAAATGCATTGCTGGACAATATCCACAATTTCTAGGCTCCCCACTCAAATCTTCAGCCTACGGTATCTACTCTTTAATGTGTGTGAGATGTGAGAGTTTAGATTTTATGTTCCACCAGACATCTTCAGCAGGACTGAGGGAAATGTAAAAACTAGGGTCGGGGACATGGGGGTGGAGGTGACAGGGTTGTTTTTCCATTTTTAGAATGGAGGTATCACAGTGCAAAAACATCCTCAAGTCTCCACATCTATCTGAAAACATTTTCCCTTGCCCCAATGTATATATATTTTATAAAGTACATTATCGGACTGAGTTGGTAGTGTATATTTGATTGTTCTGTATTCACATAATAAACAAAATCACTGCTGATTAGACATGAATATTATAATTAAGTTTAGAATAAAAATGAATGAGTGAACCCTTTTTGGCCCAGAGGAATTTTTCTAGCCATATCAGGATTATAATGAGAGTTATCAGTCCAATCATCCTGTTCTATTTGCGACTCCTGACTCCTTGCTGGACATATTTCTGAGCACACACTCAGTCACAACAGTCTACAAGCACAAAATGGGAGAAAGGGAGAAAAGTGAGAATTGTACAGGGCATTGCTGTTGTGGACAAATAATACTTGAAATCTTGAAAAATGTTTCTTGAGTGTTGAGAAGCCCTGATGAGAAAAATTCTTAGAAGTTTGGTATATACACTGCACAAAGTTTTTGTGTGTTTGCACATAAAACAGCATTTCTTGCACCAAAATATTCGTACGCATAAATATTCATTTGGAGGCAGAAAATGCTGTTTTCTGGACAGAAAAATGTTGCAGTTGGGGATTTATTCTGTGCAAAATTCACACATGGTTGGGATGCATAGAAAGCATTTTCTGTGCAGAAAACAGCCCTTTCTAGGCAAGAAATGATATTCCTGTGCAAAAGCAGAATTTTCTGTGAAAAAAGTTTCATATGCAGGAAATGCCGTTTTCTGCACAAAACAACCACATGCACATTTTGCACAGAATAAGTCCTGATTTGTGTATAGGTTTAAAGACTGATTTTCAATTACTTTCTTGCAAAAAGAATGAAATTGTTACAAAATCTATTGCTTCCTTTGAGAAGAAACTTAGTGAAGAATTGCATCCTTATAGTTATGCATCTCCAAGTTGACTTCAACTTATGGTGACTCCTTCATAGGGCTCTCTTGATAATATTTATTTTGAGGAGGTCTCTCATTGCCTTCTTCTGAGGAAGAAATAAGTGTAACTGGACCAAGGTTATCCAGTGGATTTCCAGGACTGAGTCAGGTTTGGACCTCTAGCAGCTTGAGCCAGTCAAAGCAATATAACACAAACTAGATTTTTAGCGATAATAGTCTAAAAATGACATTGCAGATGCTCTACTTGTCTTGTTTTGTAATTCTAGTTAAATGAGTGAGGGGCTATTCTGCCGCTTACTGGCATAAGTGGTTTGGAGGTTAGGTCAAGGCAATGCATAGGTACATGACACCATGAGTTGCGAATTCTTGCATTTTAAGAAAGAAGAGGCAAAGAGATCCACGTGTCTTGCATGCACTTAGTGAAATAGTATTTATAGCAATACCTGTATTTCCCTCAGATCTTTGTCATGGAGATTCTGAAGAGGATCAATAAAATTCTGTTTCACATCCATGTCCAAAGAATCCTTGACCTCAGAAAGCTCCCTCATGGCTTCTCCAACATCCCCTAAAGCTGGGCCTGGAAAATAAAGACAGGGATTTTATCTTGGTGCAAGTGCTGAAAAGATTTGCTTTCATCTTAATATGGAGCTGTGCTAGATTTGAGAAACCTTATTGAGCAATCAAATACTATTGCTTTAATTACTTATGCGACAAAAGGATAAAGCATTTTGGGCCATGATGGGAAGCCTATACTATTTTCCCAGGGAAAAAAAAGAGCACAAAGTATGTTTAGTGCCATTGATACCTGTTGGGGACTGGTTCCAGGACCCTTCCCCACTCCTGTGGGGACCAGAATAAGTGGGTGCCTCAAGTCCTATTTTATAAATGGCATATTAAAAGGGTGTCCCTTATATAAAATAGAAAAATTAACGTTTCCTTTTTGGAATGAAAACAAGTATTTTCAAGCCATGGATAATTAAATCCATACATGCAGAATCCATGGATAGGGATTTCTCTGGAAGCAATAGCACTACGCCTTTTCAATGGCACTGGGAAAACTTTACTTTTAAAACCATAGCAAACAATCACAGAACACAAATCTCAAATTCTTAGGGCCAGTTGACACCATGCCTGGACATTTGTACTGAAATGAAAAAAATGCCTGAAAACCACGCCTTTTTAACTTATCTACTATAGCTTAGGCCCAAAGTGAGTAACAAGTATAAACATGATAAGTAACAACAGATTACAAACAAGATAGAAAGCAGAACTCAGTGTGCATATGAATATAGGCCTACATAAGTAAATGCTGACATTTATATGAATTTTTCAAAGAAACTGTCCCTCTCCTTTCATGGACAGGACATTTCACACAAATTAGGACTTCTCATGTGACTGTTTCCAAAGTTTAGAAAGATTAAGTCATATATGTAACTCAATATATGTGTGACATTGCCCCCGATGGCGCAATGGGTTAAACCTGCCAGCACATTGTTAAACCCATTGTGCTGGCAGGACTGCTAACCAACAGGTCAACGGTTCGAATCCAGGGGGAGCAGGGAGAGCTCCCAACTCAGCTTCCCATGCGGGGACATGAGAGAAGCCTCTCACAGGATGGTAAAACATCAAACATTCTTGCATCCCCTGGGCAACATCCTTGAAGACAGCCAATTCTCTCACACCAGAAGTGACTTGCAGTTTCTTATGTCACTCCTGACACACACACGCACGATGTACTCCAGACTCAGGCATGCTACTACACATGCACCCTACACAATTAAGCTTTGCAATTAGGGAAACAGACCATCATATGCACTGGCTGCTTTCTAACAGGGTATTATTAGAGAAATGATCCTATCCAATCTTTTTCCAGCATGGGGTGGGAGGACTTTTCCTAGCAAATAAGGTGTGGTAAACAATGGCTGTTATATTTTGTGAGGGTAAATCAGAAGAAATTGCATTACCAAAGTTGCACTCATCTCCAAGTTCTTTTCCAAACTTAATCATTGCCTCTGCTAGAAGAGCCTCAGCTTGAGGGTAGCCTGGTCCTTTTTCCTGCCCTCTGATTTTGGACATGGTGTTGAGCATGGTGAGCTTCGCCCTGGAAGCTGCAAAGAGAGAAAAATGCTAATCAGGAAAGGAAGAATCAATGGGGAGATATGGGGCGGCGGGGGGGGGGGGGGGGGGGGGGGGGGGTGTGAATGGATGTAATTAATATGAAAAGAAACATCACATATGGTCTTCAGCCAAAACTGAAGTGGCAGGTGTGTATACCATAATATCCCAATTCAGTCACAAATGCTGTATCTTCCCACATGTTTGCCACTTCTTCCACAGAGTAAAGTTTGACATAGCTATATAAGCAATCCTTTTTCTCTACGGGGATATTCCAGATGAGTAGAAAACACTGTCCTACATTTTGGCCCCTTCCACATAGCGGAATAAAATCCACATTGTATTGGATTATATGGCAGTGTGGACTCAGATAATCCAGTTCAAAGCAGATATTGTGGATTATCTGCCTTGATATTCTGGGTTATATGGCTGCGTGAAAGGGCCCTTAATGTAGTTCAAAGCTAGCTTCAAATTATGGTGGCCCGACAACAAACTCCAACAAAAGGATGCAAAAGAAAGCCCTTAACATCGATGCTTTGTGGTTTCTGTAATCACCATCCCGGCCTCAAACAGATTCCAGGCTTTTCTATGTAATCATCTGCACAGTGAAACAACTTCCTTCAATATTGGCTTGTATTAGATGGTCAATGTAGAAGTGGCATCATCTTTACCTCCCCTCTAACTTTGGAGTCTTTTATAATGTGAAAGGACTGCCTTCATTGTTTCCCTTTCTTGATCATCTAAGACACGGCAGACACATTTTTTACTCATTAGGAAGCTCAGTCCTCATACTTTTTGTGTACCATTCTAAAGGAAACTGTTGCTAAGGGGATATTCTAAATTCATAAAGCATACACATCACCCCTAAGTTATGGAGGGTGCATGCAAATGTAACTTGTTTATTTGCCCCTTAAAATATATGCCAGATGTAACCAGGATAGGTATGGAGCTAGGAAGGCAACTGGACTGACTGATGCAGGGCAAATGCTTGTAGTGAGGTAGTTGAAGGAGTGTTCAGTTTGGTAGGGGAAAAGACTGAGGGTTGATATGATGACACTTCTTAAATATCTCAAGATATGCGACAGAGTCGAGAGGGCAGGCCTGTAGGACATCTAATGGTTTTAAGCTACAGGAGGTAGATTCTGATTGAACATTAGAAGGAGAGTCTTGACCACGAAAGTAGTTTGGTGATTAATCCACTTCCTAGAGAGATCTGTTTGGATGCTTTCAAAAAAAGAGATTGTATGGCTGCCAGGCATGGTTTAGCTGGAAAACTTGGAATGAACAGGAGTTGGACTCAATAGCCCATGAGGTCCCTTCCAGCTCAACCTAAGATTCTATATGCCACTGGTTCAATTGACTTGTTCCATTGTTGCTAGTCCAGTGTCTAGTCCAGCCAACCCACAAGACAGAAGAGAATTGATAATAACTATGTTGCACAGGAACCAATATAAGGAACTATAGTAACTCCCCAAGCATGATGCACGCAGTTTGTGCCCTTGGAGCTTCTTTCTAGGGACATTACAGCAGTATTTCTAGCTCACTTGAAAACTTGTGCTAGGAGATTTCAAAAAGCTAACCAATTGCCCAGCATCTTTGAAGTCTCCAGCAATATATTGGTCGTAAATAACAGTTGTTGCAATACAAGACATCTATCAAAAGCCCAACTTTAAATCAATATTTTGTTTACAGTGCCACCACTGGCACCAGCCCTATATCTGCATGTTCAGTTGGCCATCTGTAAATGGGTGCCGCCCTCATGCATACAGGTTTACATATGGAAGTGGTGAAACAGGTTTCTGGTTCACATGGTATGTCTACATGAGTACACTGCACGTGCATAAATGTCCCTTTTCAGACATACTGCTGAAGTAAGATGTCTGGGGCAGGGTTATTAGGCATGGTGCTCTTCACCACTGATGAAAGATTAAGAATTTTAATGTATACATTCCATACAAAGGGTTAAATCCAATCTTAGTCCCAAAGTAAACCAATTGCAATGTCAAGGTCTTGTTTATCTGTATTAAGAGAAGTCGCATTGAATTCAAAGGGCTTTAGTTGGGACTAAAATTGGAAATAGCCCAAAAAAACCTGTCATTTGAGAGCTGTGCTAACAAGATTAGATCTCTCAAACTGAACTTCTAACCTTTGCTTTCATGCCATAGTAATGTAAAAGCTCTTAAAATCCATCTATATGTGTCATACTTCAAGTAAAAAAGGACATTGTGGATTGAAAACAGGATAAATGAGCAAACAATGACAGAGAAGAAGGATACAAAGGTGACCTCTCTGAAACCTTTTCAAGACATTTTCACTAAATGAACAAGTGAGTTGAGAGAATATACTATTCTTACTGTTCTTTACAACTTGCCTCTATACAGATGATGCAACCTCTAAACCTAAATACACCCTGATTTATAGAGAAGCATCATTACCTGGATTAGGTTGAAGATATTCTATTGTTCTGGTCATTATTTCCATCACAGCCCTGCTGGTGACATCCACTTTCTGTAATTGCAAAAAGGAAAGGGAGAATAAACTCCAATGAGGACAAAAAAAGAAGAAAATCCAATACTCTTGCAGTTTCTTCCTGTGCTTATTGCTTCATGGTTCTTTCTTATATGTGGCAAATGTGCAGTTGTGTAGCAACTATACATGACTAGACATTGTTAACGCTCCTGACAAATGATCTTGATGTGGCCGAATCCTGAACCTACTATGACAAATGATTTATAACACCCATTTAAGAGACTAGAGCATGGTGGTCCTCCTGCTATAGCTCTTAAATGATCTTGTACATGTACAGAAGCCTTCAACTACAACACTTGGCTGTTAAGGTGAGCCTTCTTCCAGATCTGGCATCACCCGCCATTTCTGGGATGGAAGGAGCTGTCACTTCCACCACTGCCCACTTATCATCTGGAAGTACCTTGTCTTTTTCTTGCAGAGAAGATCTAGGAAGTCACTTCCTGACTGTTTTCCTTCCTTGTTCTCTCTTATGCTGACCTCTCCTGTCTGCAGTTGGGAAGGGAAAAAGTAGGGAAAAGCAACCAATGTCAGATAGGAGAAGGAAGGAAAACAACGGAGAGTAAATTTACTACTTCTCTTTGGTTTTGGTTTTTTTTAAAAGCAAGACACTTCCAGCAGGATGGTGGATAGTTGTAGTTGTCTCCTTGCCAGTATCATGAATGCTAGAGTAAGAGATCTCCAATGGAGGGTGCCTGTAATAGCTGTTAGGACAAAGAGTCACTCCAAACTCTGTGGGGGGTGATGTGTAGGGTGTGCAAGACTCTTTTATTATATTAGGGTTGCTGCAGTCTTCTCTATGGCTTAAACACCAGGCAAGGTGTTATAGGCTCGAACAGTGGTTCTCAACCTGTGGGTTCCCAGGTGTTTTGGCCTACAACTCCTAGAAAACCCAGACAGTTTACCAGCTGTTAGGATTTCTGGGAGTTGAAAACCAAAACATCTGGGGACCCATAGGTTGAGAACCACTAGGCTAGAAGATGGGATAGTGTGGAGCTGTGGTCCAGAGTGTGTATGTCAGGCCAGAAAGTCCACTACAGGCTCTGTAAAAATTCTGTACACTTGATGTCTGACTGAAGGGTATCATATGAATTAAGCTTTAGTCTTGGAAACATGGCTCCAGAAAACCCTCGTTTTTCTTGCAGTCTTGGACCCATTCTTAGTGAATGGACAACATGAAAGGAAAATGTAAGTGGCAAATCACAACAAGAGAAATTAAACACATGCTGAGTTGGAAAATTCCAGCATTCTTTTCAATACAGTAGAATTTTTGCATGTCAAATCCTTTTGTGTATTTCTCGCATCTAAATCCCCATATTTGCTTTTACTACCTGTTGAAATGCATGTTCACAAATACCTTGCAGGTAGACCACATCACCCTGGTCATATCTTTTGGTTACATAAAGTCTCTGCCTTCTCATTTTCCCCTCTTCTGAGTTCTCGCACTGCTACTCCTCTAATCTCCAGCCATGTGTTCCCTCTGCCATCGAAAGGTGATGAGTTAAGAATGAAGACTGTACCTAATCTTTTCATTAGTAGTAAATGCAAAGCCATTAGTAACCGTTTAAATGTTCAACACTACAAACTGCCTACATTGCTTGTTTTTGGAATCTGTAAGTGAACTCTGGAAAACAACACAGAATTTGAGACATGCTTTGTCTGCTACTTTGCTAAATAAAGGCTAATTCCTTCCAGTTTCCATACTTTTCTCAAAAAAGACCTAATTTCCTTTTTTGGAAAAACACCAATTTCCAGCATGTTGAAGCATGAAGAAAAGTGGAATAAATTCTTCCTCGTCCACTGGCATTAAACATTTGAATAAATTATTATCAGTAAGAATATTATACAGGTTGAGCATCCCTTATATGGAAAGCCAAAATCCAAAAAACTCCAAAAATGTGTACATGAGTGGCAGTCATAGTGACAACTGTCCTTTCTGATGGTTCAATGTGCACCAATTTTGCTTCATGCACAAAATTACCAAAAATGCTACATATATAATGACTTTCACATTATATGTATACGGTATATATGAATCCTAAATAAATTTTATGTTTAGACTTTGGTTTCATCAAATTTCAAAATTTTAGATCCCGCTCCTAACAGGGCCATTGTTACACCAGTTGACAAATGACACAGAAGATCAGGGAAGGATAGACTGACTGCTTATGGATTCCTTAGTATTATTTACAGGGAAAGGGATAATAAGCTCAAGAGCCAGGATGGAGATCTGTTACCAATTTTGTAATCTTCTACCATTGCTAGCTCGAACGCATAGACCTCTCTACACATATGTATAATTAATAGTTGACACTTGGGATATCACTGCTTTTGCAGCTGCTGCTACTATACATCAAGTTGTTTCTTGCTTGTGAAATCCTTAAGGTGATCCTTTAACAGGATTTTCTTGGCAAGATTTCTTTAGTGAGGGTTTGCATTTGCCTTCCTCTGAGTCTGAAAGAGCAAGTTGTTTAATGTCCCCCAATAGGTTTCCATGGCTGAGCAGGGATTTAAATCCTGGTCTCCAGAGTCATAATCCAGTGCGCACTAAACCACAGTAGTTTTTGATATTTTGGATTCTGCTCTTGAATTGAATGGGATTGCTATTGACAGTAACTGGTCAACTTATCAACAGGTTGGGTGGAAATCTAAATTCAGCCCTTGTCGAGCTACCACCTTTAACTAAATCATCTCCTCCCGCACTTCTCTTCATGCACACCTGCCTTGATATGGACATAAAAGTATTGACTTGTATAACTAAACTATTCTCTGTGCCCCAGATTTATGTATTCATCAAACTGCTTCACTGTCTGATGACAGAAAGCTCTTTGGGGGGCTAGGGAATAATTAAGGTTTATTAGATGTCATTACAATGCTTAGCACAATGAAACGCTGGTCTAATTGAGGTCTCTAAGCACCAACATAAAATGGAAAGACAAGAAGAATGAAAGCAGTAAAGGAAGAAGAAAGGGCCAATGGTCTGAGCTTTGGATGAAAACTCTGGAGTCAAGGATTCAACTTCCTGTTTGGCATGTCACCCACTGGGTGGGTATATCACATTCACTCATCCTCAGAGGAAGGCAGTGGCAAAACAAATCTTGCCAACTCCAAGAAAGCCCTGTAATATTTTCACATTGGAGTTGCCACAAGCTGGAAGCAATTTGAAGGCAAACAACAACAACAACAACAACAACCACAGGAGGAGGAGGAGGGGGAGGAGGAGTTTTAATAAAACTGGGCTGTAGCTTCTTAAGTCAGCTTTTATCCCCCATTCAATGCAGACATGGCTCCCTCAGGCTCATTTAGTCCTTATAGAAACTCTGTGAGATATTGGGCACATATAAGTGACATCAACAGCAATACGCAATCACATCTTCCAGGATGCACTAATGCTGTACAAATGTGCATAGTCACTACAACCTCTGTATTCACACGTAACACATTCCTGGACTTCACATGGATATGTGAAACTATGGATAATAGTGAATCCTATTATTTTCAGTGGGATGAACAATTGAGGTACCAATAAGAGGGTATAGCTTGTAGAAAAGGCTCTAAATGGATAAAGTAAACCTCAGATAAGTGAAACTGCAAGTACTGATTCCGCAGATATGGGGGTCGAACTGTAGTTGTGAATGTATCATGTACTTTTAAGAAACAGTCAAGTATAAATCTATGCTACAGTTACTCTACCCTAGTGTTACATTACATTGGATAATTGCACAATGTAGTTACTTCCTAACCACAAAGTGAAATGAAGGACCTACAATCTCCTAGAAAGCATGACCACTTGTGCAGAAGTGATGCTGGTGTAACACTGAATATGCAAACCAGATTAGAATAGTACCGTGCTGCAAGGGTTGTGAAAGCTGATAAGAAAAAAAATCAACCCATTGCAATGTGGTGTTGGAGAAAGGTTTTGAGGGTAATGTGGATTGATAAAAAGAGAAATAAATAGATCACAGAGCAAAGCAAGCTGAAGTCTCTAGAAGCCAAGATGACTAAACTGAGACTGTCATACTTTGGCCATATCATGAGAAGACTCACTAAAAATACTCACTAAAAGGTTGGTAAAGTAGAAGACAGTGAAAAAAGAGGAAGACTACATTCCAGATGGATAGACTCAAACATGGAAGCCATGGTCCTTAGTCTGCGAGCCCTGAATAGAAATGTTGGGAATAGAATGACTTAGGGTGCCCACCCTCTGTTTGACCTCATTTTACCTGCCATGGCTGAATGCTATGGAATCTTGGGATTTATAGTTTGGTGAGACATCAGCATTCATTGGTGGAGAAAGCTAAATGTCTTGCAAAACCATAGTTCTCATAACTCCATAGCATTGAGCCATGGCAGTTAAAGTGGTGTCAAACTGCACTAATCCTATAGCATAGATGCATTCTTGGAGGCCTCTCATTCATAGGGTTGACATAAATTGAGGTTGACTTGAAAGCAACTAACAAAATCAAAAAGTTATACTAGTATAAATCACCAATTTGATATGGCCATCAAATAGCAGTAGCTAGAAATAATGTGTATGAGTAAGGAGGGGCTGATAATTGGTGTCTAACAGGAGTCTTCCTTCTAACACAAACAGCAGATTCAGAAGAGTTATTTCTGTCAGGAACATAGCAGGGAGGGGGCTCTCAACTCTCTCCCCCTTCCTGCTGGGATCCTGAGGATTCTTAGCTCCTGGTAAGAGCATCACATTTAAAAACACACACACACATTAAATATCACATTCAGGTTAGTTTTGAGGAGAAAGTATTATTACTGTTTTCAGAGCAATCTCTATTCAATTCTCTATGTACAGCTTCAAAGCAATGGCCTAAATTTTAATTTCAAAACGGTCTGCCATGTAAGGTATGCCCCCTTCCACTGTAAAAGGGCCTTGCACAAATGAATGGGTTGGGAATGATTGAGGAAAGTTATTGAAAAGCATAGAAAGAAGGCCTTCAAGATTTCCACTCTGAGAAGCAATGTGTTTTAGAGCAGTAATGTTTTTGTCAGGACTAGAACCAAGCATCTTTTGGATACCTTTAAGAGCAAGCAAGCAACCTCTTTATTAGGATCAGTTTGTCCTATTGGCCTCTGTTCCTTGGTCATACTATCTTTGTCCTCTATTTGTTAAAGGAAATGTATATCTAACAAGCATCTGATAATTACTGCAGCATTTGACACCCCAATGTAAACAACAACAATAACTCCTACAAAAGACGGAGAGGCAAGTGTATTTAAGGATAGATCCATGTCTTTAACTATACAATTCAGTTCGTCTATTTAACGCATCTTGTGACCTCAAAAATGAAAACGGATCATCAAATCTTTCAAAGGACAGTTCATGTTCTTGATCCTTGTCCAATCCATATATAGTTGCCAAGTGAATGTAGCAGATAGCGGCTTGAGATACAGCTGTACATCCACATTCCCATCAAAAGAAACACCCAGTAAATTTAACCAGATTGAGACCAGCATCAAAATGGAAATGGGGATGAGCATTATAAAGTGCATTCATACTAGCTACCTGTGTGAGCCTCTCTGTCAGGACTGGCTGTTCAGATCCCTGTACTCACCCTGATATGATGCCACAGGGTAAGATGAAAGTAATAATGCTTCCTCGGTGCAGCAGTAATAAGACACTGGATATCATTTATATATCTGATTTCGGTGTATTATGTTTAGTGTTTCATTGTCCTTATGACTGACCCTGTTTGAAGCCACCTAAAGGCAATTAGTATCAGCAGTTCTTCCATTCAAATCTGTGTTCTCTGTGTGAGAGGGGCCCCGTCTACACTGACCATTTAATACAGTTCAAAGCTAGCTTCAAATTACAGCAGCAAGAAAATAAACACTCACAAAAGCATGCCAAATAAAGTCTTTAATGTGTGGCAATGCAATGGTTATGTAATTAACATCTGGGTCTCAAACTAGTTTCAAGATTTCCCATGTAATCATCAGTACAGCAAAAAATACTTTCTTCAATTCCATTTTGAAACCACATTGAATTGTCAGTGCAGATGTGCCCAGAATTTTGCTGCTACAAGACACATGTGTTTCCTCCAGAATTTCACTGCTACAAGTGGCTTTTGGAAAGCCATGCTCTTAAATGGTTTTTGAAGTCTAGCAGAATCAGACAAATGTGGTCTGAATGAAGCCATCAATAACTTCACTTTTTTTAAAAAACAAAAAACAAAACAGGGGCCATCGGCATCATTACATATGATAATTTCAGTGCTTTCTGAGGTTATATATAAGTGTATGTGTGTGTGTTTTGACAAATACAGCTTTCTAAAAGTGATGCACTAAGATGAGTTTTTAAATGTTCTCCAACCCTACAAGCCTATTCTGCATAATATATCAAAAAACCAGACTGCCTGCTGTCAGAATGACTGTACGCAGACTACAGCTCATATACTGGATTCTAGGTTAAACGTTTTTCTTAAGGTACATCTACACCAGTGTTTCTCAAACTCTACTCTCCCAGATGTTTTGGATTTCAGCTCCCAGAAATTCCAGTCGGCTTACCAGCTGTTAGGAATTGTTAGGAAGCCCAAAACACCTAGAGGAGCAGAGTTTGAGAAACACTGATCTACACTGTTGAATTAATGTGGTTTGATATCAATTTAGGAGCTATGGCCCAATGCCATGGAATCCTAGGAATTGATATTTAGTGAGCTCTTTGGCAGATAACTCAAAAAACCTTGTAATATTGCAACTCCCGTGATTCCATAACATTGAGTCATGGCAGTAAAAGTGATACCAATCTGCATTAATTCTACAGTGCAGATGCACCTTAGTTAACCAAAGGTGGGGGTCGTGAACCTCCAAGCTACACAACCTCTCGCTGTGGGAGGTACTGGCTGAGAACTCAGGATGATGGAGAAGGACTCAATTGGAGTAGGTGAAAATACTTTCTTTAATTGTATGCATGAGAATAAGCCTCATGTAAGGTTAGGACTGTATCCAGAATCTCTTCTTGTAAACAATAGTTTATATCAACATTTTTAAATAATGCCACTATCATAGCAAATGCCAAAATCAGATTTCATGAGAAATGACTACATATTATTAAGTGATCATGTTATCCATGTCTACATTATAAACTTTATGTTGGTTGATTTAACAGCAGCTCATTTGTGCTTAGTGAGGAAGTGTGGTTAGTTAGCTTCTCTGTCAACAATGAGGAAAAAACAGCAACCAATGATATGGCAATAAAACTATTTTCAGACTCACCCTTTCCATTTCTTTGAAATCTTCATCTAGCTTGGTTCCTTCTGCTCCGCCTACCTTCTCACTCACTTTCTGTAAAAAGAGAAAAACAAAGAGATAAATCTAAGTAATAATGGCAAGGCAGGGAGACAGACATGACAAGACAAGACAATTTCCTACTGTGTTCCCAGTGAAGCATTTAAATTTTTATCAAATTCCTGATTTGCACATTATATAGGTCAAATGTAAATTGTAGTAACTGAGATGGTTATAATAAAGATTCACACTCCAGTGCAAAATTTACAGCTGAAAATTTACACAAAGATTTCCCTCAAATGGAATTTCCCCCATATACTTTATTATCAGACACAAAACAGAATATTGTGATCTGGAGATTGGTAGAATGAGGGCTCATCTGCACAAAATCTGACATCAGCCTGGAGCAGAAATGCTCTGGACCAGCCCTGAATGCTGCATAGCTGTTCAGACAACCAGAAAAGGGAATATTGTCAACATTCATCACACAGCAACCAGCCAGAGAGCTCTGGAGAGCTTGTAGCCATCATCATGCACCTTTGCTGACATCATCAAAGTGCCCATGCAACTACAGAGAAGAAGAGGAGGGTGTCAGATTTGCTGACATCAGTGAAGGTACCCAGTGATGGCCAGGAGTTTTCCAGCTGGCTACCTCTGAGTTGTAGACATTCATCCTAGCGCGATGAAAAAGGGATCAAGAGACTGACCCATGTGGACATCAGTCTGATTCATTTTGGAGCTAGCCTGCTGTCCAGAATCACTTCAAAGTACTGAACTGCTCTGAAGTTTCAGTAAAAACCTGGAGCATTTCTCAACTTTGCTTTATGCAGGATTAAATTTCCTCAGCCCAGTTTACCCCATGTCAAAGACTGGGGATACTTGAATGTCATCTGGACATCCATGTTTGATTTCAGGTTCACTTCAGGGTACCTGCAAAACATGGACTGTCGTGTCTACAAACATCATTCTCAACTTCTGGAAAGGTTCAGTCAGTATTGCCCCTGAAAAATCCTACACATCTCTTAGGAAGAAAGCAGACAAATGCCAGCATTCTGGAAGAAGCTAAGAGCACCAGTACTGAAGTAGTGATCCTCTGCCATCAACTTCACATTGTCTAAATATCTGATCACCATCTCCCTAAGCAGTTTACTTTCAACTCAAGAAGGGAAAATGGAATGTCAGTGAACAACAAAAGAGATTTAAAAATGGGCTTAAAGCTAACCTTTAAAAATGTGAAATAAACACTGAGAACTGGGAATCACTGGCCTTCAAGCATTTTAACTGGAAGTCAGCTGTTACCAAGAGTGCTATTGATTTTAAAGAGGCACGGAGAGACGATGAAAGAGAAAAATGTGCCAACAGGAAGCCACATCAAATAAACCCTTGTCATGACTGCCTTCCATCTGGAAATCTATGTCCTAACTGTGAAAGAAGATGTGGATTCAGAATAGGTCACTACATTCACTTACAGACTCACCACCAAGACTCTACCCTTAGAAGACAATCATACTCAGCTACAAGTGATCACCTATGATGACTTCAGGGTAAAGGGCTCATGTAGTTAAACCCTTAGTTAGTAAAGAATCTCAATTCATTGACAAAGTTCCAAAACTCTACCCAAGCAAGTTGTCTTGTGGTGTAGGTTGGTGATTCCTATATCCATGCAGTACTGACTATGCTCTAGATCAGGGGTCCTCAAACTTTTTATACAGAGGGCCAGGACACAGTCCCTCAAACTATTGTAGGGCTGGATTATAATTTGAAAAAAAATGAATTAATTCCTATGCACACTGCACATATCTTATTTGTAGTGCAAAAACACTTTAAAACAATACAATAATTAAAATGAAGAACAATGTTAACAGATATAAACTTATTAGTATTTCAATGGGAAGTGTAGGCCTGCTTTTGGCTTGTGAGATAGAGTTGTTGTTGTTGTGTGCTTTCAAGTCATTTCAGACTTAGGTTGACCCTGAGAGAGAGCCGGGTAAATGACCTTGTAGGGCCATATCTGGTCCCCGGGCCTTAGTTTGAGGACCCCTGCTCTAGATATTAGTTTAAGTTTATCCCTGGGGATAGGTTTAGCACCTAGGATTAAATTCTGGACTAAAAGATATTGGTTCAGCAATTTATATAGCAGCAAAAAGTAGCAGATTAAAATAGGGAAACATGCATTTACTGCGCCACAAATCCCATGCAGTGAAAGCTATAATGGAACAGCACTCTCTTTTTTAGAACCAATGTATAATCATAACAGCATAATATAATTTAAAAATCATTAAACCACACAGCTTGGGTTTTTTAAAAACAGTGTACCTAGAAGGGTACATTGTATGACATACATATTTTACACTGCCATTTTTCCTCCCAGTGTTAACTGCTGCTTAAAAGTATATCTACTGGTAACGACCAAAGGCACAATGGTATCCCCATATAATGAATGGACAGTCAAACTGTTCTATTTTCATGGAGAAGTATTAAAGCATATCTTTAATTCTATGGTGAGAAGACAAATGATTGCCTGATTTTTTAAAAAACATTTTAGTGTGAAAACACATATCCTCTCTATTTCCATAAGAAGGGAATTTTTATGATAAGCTACTAGCTGATCTAGTGCTGGACCAAGAAAACTAATAATCAGTCTCATTCTTTGTTAATAAACTGATTTCTCAGCTCTGCTACTTGCTTATAATTAACAAAAGATGAAAGCATTCCTAGACTGTTTCAAAACCATATCATCTTAATTAATGCAAGATACAACACAAGGTGACTAATAGTGTCCCTACAAGGAGTACAGAGAGTGTTTCTGCCCATATTACTGAGCCACTGTGTTAACAAAAACCTAATGACCAATGTCTTCCAAGTGAATTCAGTACCATGGATAGCTCTGTTCGAGACACACACACACACACACACACACACACACAAACCCCTGGAAACTCAAAGTGTGTTCTCCATCCCAATTAGAAGAGCTATTAAACACTTCCAGTTATTTTCTGATTGCAAAGAGATGCTAGCTGCAGGTTCAGGAAAGTTGCAGACATACTATTAAATATCTTTGAAACCATTCACTGTGCAGAATTATAGCAATGTGGCTGCAGTTCAATTGTCATGGCACCATCCTAAGGAATCCTGGGATTTGTTGTGGCAACAGAGAGCTTTGACAGAAAAGGATGAATATCTCTCAAAACTTCAAATTTCATGATTCCATAGCATTGATCCACAGCAGTTAAGCTGGTGTCAAACTGCTATAATCCTGCAGTGGGGATACAGCCTCTATAGTGGGGTAGGACCTGTTGCCTTAGAGATACAGTCGTTTCACAATGCTGAACATGTTGACTATAGTACACCTTACCACTGTATCAGTTCTGGCTGCAATCTAAAAAAGTGAGCCAAACATAAGAATTTTGAGATGAGGTTCAAGGAAGAGTGAACATTGTTCTGGAATGGAATTCCAGGCATAAGGGACACCCATAAGGGAAAGGCACCTTTTTATATTTTAGATTCCAGAATTCTTTAGACAACATGTAAATAAATGTTGAAATCTTTAAAGACAAAGACCATCAATGCCTTATGGCTATGTGGTATTTTCTCAATGCTGTATTTTGCCAGCAACCTACATTTAGTGAGAAGCTGAACAGATCTAAGCACCTCAAATGCTGAAAAAGATCCTGATCCTGAAGATTTTAACACATGAAGGTGACTCTGTAATGAATCTATCACTACTCATGTGACAGAAGAAGAGAGCAAATGGATCAAGGTTTCAATATCACGCCCTTGTTCTACTTAGGATACTAGAGCAAAGTGTAAAAATTCCTTTCAACAGAAAGGAAGAAACCATGAAAATGAACAAAATTTGGCTACCAATATTTAAAAAAACTCTAAAATTATAACAGTAAATATAGAAGAAAACTCAAACACGGGAACTCCAGAGGGCTAATCACCTTTCAACAAAGAATTCCCCCAGGCCGTAACAGGGCACACCTAAAAAGTGTCAGGCCATTAAATGCTAATCAAGGTGACCAATTGAAACATTTAAACCTAGCTCCAATAGACAAGAGTTCTTTCACCCACTCTGGACTTTCCACAGATATATAAACCCAACGTTCTTAGTTTCCAACTGACCTCATAACCTCTGAGGATGCCTGCCATAGATGCAGCTGAAATGTCAGGAGAGAATGCTCCTAGAACATGGCCACACAACCCGAAAAACCTAAAACAACCCAAAAACTCCTTTGTTTTTGTTTATTTTAATAAAAAAACTGCAACTTTGAAAAAAAATTGAAATATTTTGGGGCGGGGGAAGGAAGGTGCAGGACAGAGTACAGAAGCAAAAAAAAAAAGAGAGAGAGAGAGAGAGATATGGCTGAGGAGGAACTAAATTATCACCATGGGGATTCATAGGAGTCAGGCCATTCCCTCTCTTCACTAAACCACTCCAATATTTAAGCAAAAATGCGCTTTCACAGCCCCCCCTTCCCCAAATGAATGCCCACCCTCACTTCCCTAGTGATATAGTAAAAAGAGAAAGGACTGAAAGATACAGAAATAAGAAAAAAATATTAAATTGCCAAAGGAAAAGACTGGAATTAAGTCCAAAAGCAAGTGATCCTAAGAGCAGTGATGGCACTGAGATAGAAGAACATAGAGCTAGCTAGCACACGATCTCGATCTCTCTCTCAGAAGCCAGGATGCCACAGGAAAATGGAGACGCTCACCTTGATATATATAGACCAGTTTGGCAAAAAGACACATGATCCATTTTTTTGCTCTGCTTGGCTCAGGTAAGGCTAAGGGGGGGGGGAACCCCAGGAGCACAGCTGCTGTCATAGCATAGCCAAAAGCAGCCATTTACGGTCACCATGTGGTCCATTTCAACCAAGTAAATTCAAGCCCTGTCACCCACCCTATTTCCGGACATTCAGTTGCAAGGTCTGCCACATGTCCTGGATCCCGTTTTGAAAAATGGAACCGTGCAGAGCCCTAACTGAGTAAGGGCTCTGTACGGTTTGAATGTAAGTAGATTTCAATTAAAAAGAATATATATATGAATGAGA